GTCCTTATGTTTTGTAAATCACAAATCCAATTGCAGTGGAGTTATCAAAAGGGAAACATACGTGCTTAAAGGCCTAGCTGCAAAAACAAACATGGCTGAAGAATCAAGAAAGCTGATAAGAAGTAAGAACATTCAATTCTGGCCAGAAGCAACCATGATTGCCCTGGTTGGAGGGTATTGCATACGTTGCATCAATCTCAACATCAAGCAAGGTGTGATTAGCAACAGTAAAGTAGAGCTCGACACTGAGAATTAGTTCCACTGATGATTCGAAGCAATTAAGTTTTACCACACTCAACAACGCAGATAGAGGTAAACTCAAGATATCGATAATGGAGTTTGTGACTCTCTCTCACTGTTCCCTAATATTTATTAAATAAAGATAGAGCTTGTTTGGCAAGCTCTGACAGCTATACAGAATAATATAAAAGAATACTAACACATAAAGTTATTGATACAGAAGTAAAAACTAACAAACAAATGCAAACATCTGTATATATCTAATATAGATGAAAGTATCTGCACACAAATGAAAAGGAAGCAAAATGTCCGCCTATGTCATAGTTGGACATTCCCAGAGTCCATTGAAAATACAGGGTACCAGGTTTATGATTTTGAAATGTTTAGGCTTTTTTTTTTTTTCCTATAACTCTGCCCATGTGTGCTTGCATGCATGGCCTGTCCCAAGCCAGGATAAAGGAGGAGGGTTGGCGTCAGGTGTTGCGAACCGGCCGTAAAAAACAGCTATATTTTTATGTGATGAACCTATATGATTTTTCGTTGGGGCGTACCCTTCATAGCGACGCGTTGCACCGGGCCCCGGGTGTAGCGAAAAATGGGCTAGGGTCCTTGCCACAAGGCAAGGCGCTGCATCGGGCCCGAGGTGTAGTGAAAAGTGGGCTAGGGTCCTTGCCCCAAGGCAAGGCGCCAGGTCTTCACCCGGATTTGGTGAGAAGTATGCCAGGGTCCCAACACGCAGATGGGCGAGCGTGGCGGGCAAGCACAGCCCAGGGGTTAAGGATGAGATTGGGAAGCTGGAACATAGGAACCTTAACGGGTAAATTGAGGGAGTTGGCAGATGTTTTTGCTAGAAGGAAAGTAAATATTGTTTGTTTGCAAGAAACTAAGTGGGCTGGAGAAAAGGCCAAGGAAGTGGATGGAACTTGTTTCAAGTTATGGTACACAGGTACGAACAAGAGTCAAAATGGTGTTGGAATTATGATCGACAAAAGTTTTAGAGATAAAGTTGTGGACGTCAAAAGGAAAGGCGACAGGATTATTCTGGTTAAGCTTGTTGTGGGTGACTTAATCCTGAATATCCTCAGTGTGTATGCACCCCAAATTGGATTGCAACCAACTGATAAAAGCCAATTTTGGGAAGACTTGGAGGAGGTTTTGAGGGGAATACCTCGAGAGGAGAAGATTTTCGTAGGAGGAGATCTAAATGGTCATGTTGGTAAAAGCAATGGAGGTTTTGATAGAATCCATGGAGGTTTTGGCTATGGGACGAGAAACGAGACTGGAGAAGATATCCTGAATGTTGCACTAGCCTACGATTTGATGTTAGTGAACACCTTTTTTCAAAAAAGGGAGTCACACCTTATCACTTATCAAAGTGGCCATAATCGTAGTCAGATTGATTTCTTTCTGGCTAGAAGAGAAGATAGAACTTCTTGTGTCGAATGTAAGGTCTACCCTGGAGAGTGTGTTGCTACGCAACATAAGCTGGTAGTCTTGGATGTTCGGTTCAACAAAGTACGTACAATGAAGAAGAGGGCTCAGAATCCAAGGATAAGGTGGTGGAAGCTTAAGGAGGGAAAAGAGAGAGAGTTCAATGATAGAATGTTGCACGAAGGACCTTGGGAGTTTGATGGAGGAGTAAATGCAATATGGAATGAGATGGCTAAGTGTATTCAAAATTTGGGAAGGAGGGTGTTGGGAGAAAGCAAAGGAAATGGATTTCATACAAAGGAAACATGGTGGTGGAATGGAGAGGTGCAAGAGGCAATTAAACATAAGAAGGAGTGCTTTAGATCTTTGCATAAAAGTCCCAATGAAGAGAACCTGCAAAAGTTTAGATTGGCGAGAAAAAATGCAAAGAAAGCAGTGCGAGACGCGAGAGGCAAGGTTTTCGACGAGTTGTATAAAAGTCTTGGGAGCAAGGATGGTGAAAGAGGTATTTATAAACTTGCAAGGATAAGGGATAAGAAAAGTAAAGACCTCACTCAAGTTAGATGCATTAAGGATGAAAATCAAAAACTTCTGGTGAGAGATGAAGATGTAAGTGAAAGATGGTTGAAATACTTCAACAAGCTGTTTAATGGGGATGGAAATACAAGCGAGGTGGACTTAGAGGACGCGTATGATGATATGAATAGAAGATTTGTACGCAGAATTAATACACATGAAGTTAAGGAGGCTTTAAAGAGGATGAAGACTAATAAAGCCTTGGGGCCTGATGGTGTCCCTATTGAAGTGTGGAGAGGCCTGGGGGATGTGGCAATAAAATGGTTGACCAATCTTTTTAATAAGATTCTCCAGACGAATAAGATGCCTGATGTATGGAGGAAAAGTATGATTGTGCCTATCTACAAAAACAAGGGAGATATACAGAATTGTTCAAACTATAGAGGCATTAAGCTAATGAGTCATACTATGAAGCTGTGGGAGAGGGTTATTGAACATCGCTTGAGGAGAGATACCAAGGTTTCTGTAAATCAATTTGGATTTATGCCAGGAAGATGTACCATGGAAGCCATTTTCTTGATGCGACAACTAATGGAAAGATACCGAGAAAAGAAGAAGGACTTGCATATGGTGTTCATAGACCTTGAGAAAGCATACGATAGGATTCCAAGGAAAGTTTTATGGTGGGTCCTGGAGAAGAAAAATGTTCCATTAAAGTATGTAAAGGCAATCAAGGATATGTATGATGGGTCTACTACATGTGTAAAAGCTTGTAACGGATCATCAAGTTATTTTCCTATCACGGTAGGTGTACACCAAGGGTCGGCTCTAAGTCCTTACCTATTTGCCTTAGTTATGGATGAACTAACAAAAGATATTCAAGAGCAAGTGCCATGGTGTATGCTTTTTGCAGACGATATTGTGCTTATTGATGAGAGCAAGGAGGGTGTTAATAGAAAACTTGAATTGTGGAGAAGCACATTGGAATCCAGAGGATTCACATTAAGTCGAAGCAAGACTGAGTATCTGAAGTGTGAGTTTTCTCTGGTACAAGATGAGGACCAAGAACCTGTGCGTCTAAATGGTCAAGAGGTACCCAAAAAAAATGCTTTTAAATACTTGGGCTCCATTTTACAAAATGGTGGAGAGATTGATGAGGATGTAAATCACAGAATCAGAGCAGGGTGGATGAAATGGCGTAGTGCATCTGCATTTTTGTGTGACCGCAAAATTCCCCTGAAGTTAAAAGGAAAATTCTATAAAACGGCAGTACGACCGACAATGCTATATGGAGCGGAATGCTGGCCAGCACATAGGCAACATGAGCATAAGATGGGAGTAGCAGAGATGAGGATGTTAAGGTGGATGTGTGGGTACACAAGGATGGATAAGATAAGAAATGAAGATATTCGACGAAAGGTCGGAGTAGTACCGGTAGCCGAGAAGATGAGAGAACATAGATTGAGGTGGTTTGGGCACGTGATGAGAAGACCCATGGATGCTCCTGTAAGAACAAAAGTTTGTTACCAAGAGCTAAACACAAAAAGAGGCAGAGGTAGGCCGAAGCTTAGTTGGGGAAAAGTAGTAAAACAAGATTTAATGGAGTGGGATATAGATTGGCGGACAGTATGTCTTAGAAAGGAATGGAGAAAAGCTATAAGTATGGTGGAGGGTTAGACTCGCTGTTATTCCTATGTTCCAGATGGTCCTTTTTTAGTCCTTTTCCCCTTCATTTCCCCCACTTCTTCTTGTCCCTTTCTTTTTTACTTTTATTTATTTATATATACATATATTTTTATTTCATTTTATTTTATTTTATTATTTTATTTGTGTATTTTTATTTATTTATTAATTTATTAATTTATTTATTTTTTATTTTTTATTTTTTTTGTTACTTTTTTTCAACTGTTTTGTATCTTTCATGTGGGTTCATCTACCACCGACCCCAATTAATTTGGGATAAAGGTGTTGTTGATGTTGATGTTGTTTTAATCACCAATGTATGTAATCCAAGAGAAATTATTGAGAGTTGCCAAATTAACTAAATGCTTTTATTTGAAGAAGGGTACAGAGGTCCTGGCAGACCAAGTATGAAGTAAGCATTCAAACTATTGGGTTTACTTCCATTCTTTATCATGCTGTTTAGCCCACTCATCATATATTCATCTACTTTTGTGTTCATTTTGCATCTGAAAACTGTGTGTTTCTACTATATATGGGAGGCATTGCCAGGAGTAACTGCACAAATAATGTTCTTGGTGTTCATTTTAAGTTTAGTTTGTTCAGGAACAGAAAGTGAACAAACTCTTTTTGATCCTCGAGACATCGAAGGAGAAAAACTGTCAGCAGAAAGTGAAATTGTGACAACGGAATTAAGTTGACAAATAAATTCAAACCCCCCAAAAAAAAAGTTGACGGCTAGTTTTTACATGCCTTTGGACAACAGATTTGAAAACCTCAAGTGACAAGTAACTCCACCCCAAGCTAATGATATCAAAGATAAAGTACCCAACAATATGGAAAGAAAATAGGTACATCTATAAGAAGATAGAAGATCAAATTAAAGTCCGAGCAAACTAGCTGACAAAGAATTGATATCCACATCATATTAAGAATCTATATGTAATGAGCGAATGGGTTAGGTATTAACCCAATAAAATGTTCATAAGTAAACTAGAAATAAAGGAAAAGTCCAGAAAGTCCAGAAAGCAAACTCCCACACAAGTCAACCACTAAATACCTGATCACAAGAGCCAAGTACCAAATTAATAAGAATGCTCAGCTTTCAGATACTATCAAAGTACGACATTTACATGGAATTTGGTTAGCATCTCCCTGCTATTGTCTTTCACAAAACCTGCTGGCATGTAACTTACATCATTTCCCTTGTCTTTTGTTACGTCAGATGGAGAACTCACAGTTGCAACCCTAAAGTATGTCAACAGAAACCGGTGTTAGCAAAGTCAATTTGTGGATAGAAAGCCCTGATATTATCAGAATGCAAATGATTTACATTAAGTTTTACATTTTGTGCAAATGCAGGCATATCCCAAAAACTAAAATAAAATAAAAAATTTGTCGGCAAACTACTATAAATTATAGCTATGCATGCATATTCACCCAAATACTGAACAGTACACATAAAAAAAAAATACCAAACTAGAAAGCAAAAAATTTACATCCTGACTATAAATTTCCAAACATGCAGAACATGAGATATATTGAAGTAAATAATAAAAACTAAAAGTCATATACATCTAACCATCTATAATACTGAATTACTGATATATCATTTTTCAACTCGAAAGTATTATTGAAATTAGACTTCATTTGAGGAAACAGAGAAAAACAACCAAGAAAGAAATTAACTATCTTCACTTTGTAGTTTCTTATTTCCTAAGTTAAACCTGTCAAATTCGAATTGCCTGGTTTAACAGTTGGGGCAAATAAGACGAAAATAATTGATAGCTCATTACTTATGTAAGTGCAACACAACCAGATAATTTATAACTACTACAATATTTCTCTCTGTACTCTATCTAATCCAGCTAATCCTCATCATAGAATCTAGCACAAGATACGTGATTCTTTGAGTTGTGTTACATATAAGCTATTTTTAATGAAGAAGTAGAAGCAGAAACATTGAGAATTTCCAATATCCATTAAACTGTAAGGTATATGCTTAATTATATAATGGCTGTGTTTACTATGTCGGTTAACTAATAACCATTTTTATAACTCGGAAGTTCTAATTTAATAAAATATTCAACTTGCCTTCAATATTTTATTATGCTTCTGAATTTCTTTTACGCATAATTTACTCCACACAAAAATGCTACCTTCTAAACTGCAGAAAGTTGATTAATGATTAATTTTTGTTGGCTATTTAAACCAACGGCTGAAGTGGCCATATTACTGGCCATATCAGCTATGTTTTCTATTTTTATACAAAGAGTTATAAGGGAGAAACTAATATCACGGGAAAAAAAATAGTCAAGATTCAAGAGAGCATCAATGTACCAGAAATCTCATAGCAGTGAGTTCTTGCTTCTCATCATATTTCCCTTTTCTTGATCAATCACTTCACCTCCAACTCTTCAATCATAATAAATAAACCTGTTTGAAAAAATAGCATCTAAATAATTTTCCAAACACTCGGTAAAAATATCACAAGCTATTCTTGTTAGAAGATAGCACAAGTCAACTCCAAAAGAGATGTTGAGAATACCTAGGAATGGGGATTAGAGAAAAAGGGTAAGGAATCAAGAGGAGGGTGATAGGACTCCACCAAGTACAGAATAATCAAATTAGAAATAAGGGAAATCAGATTGGAAAAGAAAACTTGTGTTACTGATAATTTGGACAATATAACAAGTAAATTGGGATATTCTGCTACAGAGCAAATCAATACATTGAAATGAAGGAAATTACAGCAAGAAGCTTGTGGAAAATGAAGGGAAATGCAGCAAAGCAGAAAGGAAAATTACAGAGCACCTAGAGACGCTCTGAGTATGTCACAAGCCAAGTCTCAAGTTCCAGAAAATGCCCAAGTGCCTTTCCCACTCCCTTCACACTTCCTTTAACTACCATCAGGTGCCATGCTGTTATTCTGTTGCAGAATTGCTGACTCAGCAAGTGCCTATTTTCTTTGGATACTGGACCGTATCAGAGGGTAAATTGGTTCTTTCTAATTTAAGAATAATGCTAAATCAATCTGATGAGTCAAACTAACACAAGATGAGAACCTTCATCTACATCTATAAAAAATAAAGTAACATCAGCTTAATCTACATAAGCATCCTGTAACTCTAGTAAGCTAATTTGCACCAAAAAAAGTAGTTAAATTTGACACTTTGCCAAGTAGCTGGCTAGCTGGAGTAGACTCAACAGGAAGGAAAATCTTCAGGAGGAGGAGGCAGCAAGTACCAAGATACTGCAGGACCATCTTTCGCAATAAAAGCCATGGAAAGACCCTAAGATGTGTGCTCGTCAAGATGGACATGTATAAACCACACTTCTGGATTCATAAACTTTAAACCGAATTGCTGCCAGTCCTCCCTTTAGAGGGTCATACCTTCCCTTTCAGGAAGATGGAGAATAGCAAGATTAGAAGATAAAGTACTAGTTTTTACATGCCTTAGGACAACAGATTTGAAAACCTCAAGTGACAAGTTAACTCCACCCCAAGATACTGATATCAAAAGATAAAGTACCCAACAATCAACATCAACATCAACATCAACATCAACAACACCTTTATCCCAAATTAATTGGGGTCGGTGGTAGATGAACCCACATGAAAGATACAAAACGGTTGAAAAAAAGTAAAACAGCAAAAAATAAATAAATAAATAAATAAATAAAAATAAACAAATAAAATAATAAAATAAAATAAAAATAAAATAAAATAAAATAAAAATATATGTATATATAAATAAATAAAAGTAAAAAAGAAAGGGACAAGAAGAAGTGGGGGAAATGAAGGGGAAAAGGACTAAAAAGGGACCATCTGGAACATAGGAATAACAGCGGGTCTAACCCTCCACCATACTTATAGCTTATTAAAGTACATAGGAATATAGGAATAACATCAATAAAGTACCCAACAATATCGAAAGAAAATAGGTACATCTATAAGAAGATAGAAGATCATATTAAAGTCAGAGCAAACTAGCTGACAAAGAATTGATATCCACATCATATTAAGAATCTAAATGTAATGAGGGAATGGGTTAGGTATTAACCCAATAAAATGTTCATAAGTAAACTAGAAAATAAAATCCAAATCCAAGCCTTCTAAACTAAACTATTCCCTTTCCCTTTATCTCTTTTGTTCATTCGTTTATAAAAGTAAATTTTAGATTCTTACTAAAACACACATTCCTGCAATAATTTCTACCAAAATAAACCATAGCCTTTGAAAAAGCTTGAATTAATTATGCAGCAACGGCCTGAGGAAAACAACAGCAACTTTTATCAACTAAGACAACTAAAATGATGCAACCGAAATATGCTTGCATCTTTCACTTTTCCCTTTCTGTAAGAATACCACATGAAACATAAAACCCAAAAAAAAAAAAAAATCCATAGTTTGGGGTAAATAGAGTCAACTATAAGAGAAAAAGCATTCCAAATAATCATGTCAATTTAAGCTTTGTTTTTTATCTGAAACACTAAAAATGAGCAGTGACCGAAATTATCCTTAGTAGTTGATTAAGCAGAGCGAAAGTACATTGACAAGAAAAAAGATAGTCATGTCAAGACTCAAAATTTTTATCATTACTATATCGAAATGAACCTAATAACATGACTTTAAATCAAAACTAAAGTGATAATGAGCCTATTGCATAATCCATCTTCTTTTGGATGTGTAACTATCAAAATAAATACATATTGGTTGATTGTCATCAAAATTCAAAATAACTTAATGTGCAAATAGAAAGCATCTCACCTAGTTTTACTGTTACAGTAGGCCTCTAGCAATCATTTCACGTAGAAGTTTCTCCGCCTTATCATTCTCATCTCTTTCAAAGAGAGCACGAACAATTACTTCAAAAGTTATAGCATTAGGAATGACACCATTGTCTTCCATTTTTGACAGCAAGGCCAATGCTTCATCAAGCAAGCCCTCATTACACATGCCATTGATCATAACAGTATATGTACGGACATTTAAAAGATAGCCTTTAATCAAAAGATTCTGAAAAATCTCTCGTGCATTCTTAAGTCTCCCACCTTTGCATAGTCCATCAATAAGTATTGTGTACGTGCAAACATCTGGTAGAATTCCCATGTCTTTAATTTTCGTGAATAATGCCATTGCCTTGTCAAGATGACGATTTTTGCATAACGAGTGTAGTAAGGAATTAAAAGTGATTACATTGGGAGGTTGACCTTTATCATACATCTCATCAATAAGATCCCAAACATATGAGATTCTCCCAGACTTGCATAAACCATCAATAAGAGAGTTGTATGTTATTGTATCAGGAATCATATTTTTGCAATTCATTTTGTTAAAGAGATTCATGGCTTCATCCACCATTCTAACCTTACATAATCCATTAATCATGATACTATAGCTCCGAACATTAGGAGTGGCTCCCCATTGAGCCATAGTATCGAATACATATTTTGCATTATTCACTTCCTCAAGTAAGCAATACCCATCCATTAATGTATTATAAGTAACAACATCAGGTTCGATACCTTCTTTTATCATTAGAGCTAACACATTTTTAGCTTCTCTGACATTTCCTTCCTTGCATAATGCATCAAGCAATATACTAAAGAAATAAACATTTGGCTTAATGTCTTTCAATACCATTTCATTTAACAAACCAATTGCTTCTTTCAATTGACCCAGAATGCTAAAGCCATAGATTAAAGCATTGAAAGTGAAAACATCAGGAGGAATTCTCTTGACAATCATTTCAGAATACAAATCACATGCATCACTTACAAGCTGATCTTTGCATAGGCTATCAATAATTGTGTTGTACATTACCGCATTAGGCTTAATCAATCGCCCTTCAATGTTTCTCAGCAACTCAATCGCTGCTTGTGTTTCTCCTATTTTACACAACCCATTGATCAAGATACCATAACTAAAGTGGTCCAACTGAAATCCTTGTGCCACCACGTTGTCATGAAAGTCCAGTGCTTTTTTAACCTGACCATTAAGACACAGACCTTTCATAAGTGTTGTCAAGGTTACGGTATCAGGATGATAACCCCTCTTGAAAATCTTGGCTAATACTGAAAAAGCCAAAGGCATTTGACATAGTTGGCAGAAACAATTGATCAAGATGTTCAGAGAAACAATGCTTGGAGTTATTCCCCTGAATTCTATTTGTTTAGAAAGTGATATAGAAGTGGGGTAGTGCTTCATCTTCACAAGGGAGCTCAAAATCTTGTTGAATTCGATGATGGATGGGGTAGAACGCATACGGAGCATTCGATTGAATAAGGAAACAGCATCATCGGCATTGTGAATGAATGAGGGTTGAGACTGAGAATGAGAGTACAGCCTTGAGGTCCACGGAAAGCAAAGAAAGAAAATGGGGTTTGAATGAAACCTTAGGGTGGAAACAGCGTGCCTTAAACTTGACATTGACATTGTTTTGCACTTGATTGCAGCTACCAATTGTGTTAGGGTTTGTTTAAGCAAAATGAAGATAGCTTGAGCAAATAAATAACTGCTGAAAACAACTGGTGTCATACAATAATAATAAATTGGGGATGTTATAATTACTGCTTTTTTTTCTTACTTCTTGATTTCTGTCAATATGTTGTAATTTATTGGGTCATATTTATTAATTAATTATTAATTTCTAATAAATTATAATTGTTAGATTGGTGAAAATCAATAGTTAAGATTTGTTAGTAAGAGGCAGTAAGAAAAAGTAGTAAATATGACCTCTCCCTAAATTTATATACGAAAAAACATTTAAGAATATAATTTTGTGTCATTTTAAAGTTTAATAGATGATTTTTGTCAATCAACGATTATGATTTATTGTATTTTATTGTGAATTAATAATTAATTAATAAGTTTGACCTAATAAATCCTAACCGTTTATTATTGAAAATCAACGATTAGAATTTAAAATCTCACAAAGTTATATCCTTTAAAATAAAAAATATTTTTCCCTTTATACATTATGCCTTTGCTTTTTTTTTTTTTTTACTTTTTTTTTTCTCAGGCTATTACCACTAAGGTAGTGTTTGGTTGAAGGTTTATTTTGGGATTGATGGGAAAGTGTAAGTGGATATTGAAAAATACCACGTTTGGTTCAGGTTTTTTCAAGAAATACCAGACAAATAGGATAGATGGGAAAATGAATTTTGTGTTGATTTTTGGATGAAATTCACTGTTACAGAATACCACTTGAGATATGGTATTTTGAGATAAGTGGAAAAGTGAAAAAACAGGTGCAAAGTTTCTCCCGAACATAGATTTTGCATATTTAAATAAATTTCCCTGGTAATATTGGGTCAACCAAACAACTTTTTTTACATTTTCCTACCAAACTCATTTTCCAACCATTTCCCTATCAATTACATTTCCCTAGTAAAAAAAAATTTCTCCGGAACCAAACACTACCTAAGGTTTGGCTGAAATTTCCACTACGAGCGATCACCCTCTAATTGAGCACAGCAAAGTAAATAGTATTCTTTTTTTTTTCTTTCTGAAGTTTGCGTCTTTAGTTTTAAAAAATAATTTATTTTCTTTACATATGTGTTTAATAAATTTTCAAAAATAATATATGAATGATATAATAAAGTATTTTACTATAATAAATTTAGGGAGAGACATAGTGCTTGCCGCACACTCTATACGTCCCGGATTTAAAATTAAACAAAGGAAATTAATTTTCTCACGTGACAAAATTTTCTCATAATACACACACAATACATGAGTGGAATCCATAAAAAAATTGTATGACAAAAAAATCAAGATGGAACCCAGTCATATATTGTGAGTGTAGCATAAGAAAATTTTCTTATGTAAAATAAGAAAACTATTTCGCTTAAGCAAGTAGTTACTTGTATAAATTTTAGGGTTTGTTTTTTTGCGGTCAATGTAAATAAGTTATCTACATTGAGCTCAAAACGATGTCATTTTAATGTAGAAATCAAGATATTTTTGTGATTATAATTTATTTCAGGGTTATAATAGCATTTTTTATTATATTTTTTTAACTCAAAATAACGTCATTTTGGAAGTGAATGTAAATAATTTGTCTACATTCACTGTAGAAACATTAAATTTTAAGTAATAAATGCATAGATAAATTTTAAAATTCATCCTGTGTTACCCACTTGAAATACAATACAAAGTCTAATTAAAGTTTGACTCTTGTTCTATACCTCAATTACTTATATCCTCAAATATTAAATCATGTATTAAAAAAATTAAACTGCTATTCAAAATAAAAAACATTTACTTAAATTAAAGGAGAAGTGTAAAGAGTGAATGACAACAGGGTTATAAAAATTGTCCATCTGTTTTTCTACCCAGGAACTCTTCCTAAACATAAAAAAAAAAAAAAAAAAAAAAAAAAAAAAACCATTTCTCTATAAAAACAAGGCCTAAGAACAAAATGATCATAATGTACACCCAAAATATTTGTCTTTTACCTCATTTCTTTCTTTTTTGTTTTTGGCCATTTTTTTTCTCTCATGATAAACAAATGGAAATGGTTCACTCCTATTTAACATCTTTTATTTCTTAAGGACACATAGGCAATTTTTTTTTTTTAAAAAAGTTGACAATAAAAATAAGTTATTTTCCTCCAATCTAAAAGGAGCCTTGCATAACTAGTATCCACCATCCATAGTCACATGAGTAATTTAATAAAACAAAATATTATTAATTGAATTGTTTTTCTCTCTGTACTCTATCTATTCCAGCTAATCCTCATCATAGAATCTAGCATAAGATACATATAATTCTTAAGAGTTGTGTTATATATAAGCTGTTTTTAATGAACAGGTAGAAGTAGAAACTTTGAGAATTTCCAATATCCATTAAACTGTAAGGTCTCTACTTAATTATATAATGGCTTTGTTTACTATGTAGGTTAACTAATAACCATTTCTATAACTCGGAAGTTCTAATTTAATAAAATATTCAACTCGCCTTCAATATTTTATGCTTCTGAATTTCTTTTATGCAAATTTACTCCACAAAAAAATGTTACCTTCTAAACTGCAGAAAGTTGATTAGTGATTAGCTTTGGTTGGCTACATAAACTAACGGCTGAAATGGTCTGATTAGTGATTAGTAACCATATCAGCTATATTTTCTATTTTTATAACAGTAGTTATAAGGGAGAAACTAATATAACAGGAAAAAAGAGAGTCTAAGACTCAAGAGAGCATCAATGTACCAGAAACCTCATAGCAGTGAGTTCTTGCTTCTCATCATATTTCCCTTCTCTTGATATATCACTTCACCTCCAACTCTTCAATCATAATAAATAAACCTGTTTTGAAAAAATGCGAATAAACTTATGAAGTAAATAAACCTATGATTTCCCCTTAGTGGCATTCCAACTCTGCAGTAACTCATAAATATCTTCGTTAAAGCAGAATTATTCTAGTTAAACTATTGACTCAAGAGTACACCTTAACCGGCTGGGCTTTAGATGACTGGACCACATCAGAGAGTGAATTGATTCTTTCTAATTTAAGAATAATGCTAAATCAATCTAATGACTCAAACTAACACAAGATAAGAACCTTCATCTACATCTATAAAAAATAAAGTAACACCAGCTTAATCTGCATACGAGTTCTGTAACTTTAGTAACTTTTTTTTTTTTTTAGTTTCCCAACTGGTTCATACTTCGGATTACATCCGGTTCGAGCACTTCTCGGACCCTATTAAAGAGGGCAGCTCTCTCAAATTCTTTTTTCCATTCCCAAGACTTGAATTCAAGACCTTTGGTTAAGGGATCCATACTTCTTTACTATCTATGCCAAGGGTGTTTGGTTGACTTTAATAAGTTAACTCGCACCAAAAAAGTAATTTAATTTGACACTGCCACGTAGCTTGCTAGCTGGAGTAAAATCTTCTGGAGGAGGAGGCAGCAAGTACTAAGATATTGCGCGAACATCTTTCACAATAAAAGCCACGGCAAGACTCTTAAGATGTGTACTCGTCAAGATTGAAATGCATAAACCACACTTCTAGATTGTCTACTTTAAAACGAATTGCTGCATGTCCTCCCTGTAGAACAAGTGAACAACCACTGCATTCCTATCTGAAGGATTAAAGGGTCATACCTTCCCTTTCAGGAAGATGGAGAATAGCAAGATTAGAAGGAATATACAGGGGCTTGTTACTCTCAGTCCTTGTGTTTTGTAAATCACAAATCCAATTGCAGTGGAGTTATCAAAAGGGAAATATATGTGCTTAAAGGCCTACCTGCCAGAACAAACATGGCTGAAGAATCAAGAAAGCTGATAAGAAGTAAGAACATTCGATTTTGGCCAGACGCAACCATGATTGCCCTGTTTAGAGGGTATTGCCTACATTGAATCAATCTCAACATCAAGCAAGGTGTGATTAGCAACAGTGAAGTAAAGCTCGACACTGAGAGTTAGTTCCATTGATGACTCGAAGCAATTAAGCTTTACCACACTCAACGACGCAGATAGAGGTAAACCCAAGATATCGATAATGGAGTTTGTGACTCTCTCTCTCTCACGGTTCCCTAATTAAGTAAAGAGTTTGCAAGCTCTAATAGCTATACAGAATAATATAAAAAAATACTAACACATAAAGTTATTGATACATAACTAAAAACTAACAAACAAATGCACAAACTTGTGTATATATCTGAAATAGATGAAAGTATCAGCACACAAATGAAAAGGAACAAAATGTCAGCCTATGTCATAGTTGGACATTCCCAGAGTCCATTGAAAATACAGAGCACTGTAACACCCCGTTCTAGAACCAGTTTCTTAACATTACGTATGATATTAGGCGCAGTTACAATCACAACAATTGAATTAAAGTACGGATAAACTTTTTCCTTTTTATTTATAATTTAAAATCCAATCCATAATTAAAACAATTCCAATAGCTGTAATCATAACTTAAACTATGTGTGGAACACCTAATGTAATTTTATTTAGACCATACGTTACTACCATAGTGTGCCAAGTAGTCCCCTTAGACCAACAAGGCTTTAAAATCTCACTTTTATCGTTATTCAACACTAAACACCTCTACTTTTTAGTTTACTTAAGAAATTTTATACTATTTTAATGGTCTTCATTTTCTAATATGGTATAGATTTCTTCGCTAGCTACGCGTAGGTTCAAACTGCACTCAAATCGGAGCACCGTAACTCAAGTTATGAATTTTTAAAGAAAAAGTGCTGAATTTCACAAGGGGTCCAGCGCTGGTAGTGAGAAAACCGCGCTCGTAGCGCGGTAACACTGCCCTCCTCACGTCGTCCCGCGCTGACAGCACGAACTTTGGCACTCGTAACGCGACAGTTTGGAGATTTCACCCTACATTGGTATTTTACCTGTAACTTGAGTTATAATTATTTGATTGACGCAATCTTGGTCTCGTTGGAAAGCTAAGAAAAAGATCTA